GCAGCAGGAGACAGACAAAAAAAGTTCATAACAATAGCGGCCTGATGCTGGCTAGACTCCAAACGTCTAGGTTTACTCAGACAGGCAGATGGTTTTACATGTACACACACTCACACACAGACACTGATTTATGGTGGGGTGTTATGTTGGGACCCACCAAGAAGCCCAACCACAATAGGGGTTTATACGGAGGAGACCTCTCTTGTCTCCTCACATGTCTGAGACAATACACCGGTTATTTACTTGTAAACATAAATGCTAATGGGGCTTCTACTCTAAATGCATAGAGGGATGCTAAGCTAGAAGCCTAAAAACAGACAAGTACTTGGTACTGTATATAATCAATGGTAAATAAAAGGTGACACGTGGAAAACATGTCTTCAGCCTTAAAGAAGAATTGCAGCAGAATCTCCTTCGCACAGAAGGAGAGAGTGAAACCATGCCGGTCATTTGGATTTCCTGTCACACAATAGTCCCTCTCTGCACCACCTGTCTTTTGGTCTTTGCACACAAAGAGATGCCCTGTGTTTCCCCCTGAGTTCCCCTGAATGCCAATTAGGACAAGGGTCACTCAAGGAACACAGTTCAAAGTTGTTGTTTTTTTCTGTAATCTGCAAAGGTAGCATAAAATTCACAGCCTGTCACCCCCCCAAACCCCTCCTCCTTGTGAGTATTATTGGATGTTTTAGATTTGGGGAACTTCATTCATTCGTATCATTTTCTATATACACATTTACACTGCCACTGAGGTTTTCTGAAGGTCAGTGAATGCACCTTAATTGTAACCTCAGTGATGAGTTGTTCCTTTACTGATTCACAGTGATTAAACAGGAAAACAAGAACCTCACTTGGAAAACTGTGTGTTTTGTATGTTTGTTTTTCTTCAGTGAGTTTTTGGATTTGTAAGCAGGCAGCTGTGAGTAGATTCAGCCCCTTGGTTATATTGTTTTAAAAATCCACAAAAAAAAGAGCTCTTTCCCCACAAACTCAACGACTCAGACACCTTTCTCTGCTGCTGATCGACCAGAAACCATTCAAAAGCTTTGGCAGTGCAGGAGTGAGTCCTTTTAAGCCTGATTAATTGTAATAGAGCACAGCTGCGTCAGCAGGTAATAACGACGCCTCAGTCACAGCTGTGTTAGGCTGAGCTGTGAACCAGAGTCTGTGGAACTCTCTCAGACAACACAGAGATATTTAGGAGTGGTGCAGAAACCACACAGTTTGAATCTGAACCAGTTGTGAAGTAAACAGTAAACAATTTTTTTTTGAATGAATTATTGAGTAGTGCAGTGGTCACTTTTATAAATCACTATAAATCATTACCGTTTTGTCACTGGTGCTTAACATGGTATTTGAATTTTGCATCCTTCAAAAAGTTGCCTTTTAGCAATAATCTCACTCTTTTTCGTGGCTACACTCACCGTCATCACTGTCAGCCAGGATGGTTATCTTGGCTGTTGGGTAGTTAGCGCCCACTCGCCCGCCCATGGGCATGCTGAGGCTGACGTTGAAGCTCTCTTCCTCCTCGTACAGGGAGTCATCGATGATGATGATGCGACACATTTTCTCACGTTCGTCCTTATCGAAGCGCAGGACACTGTTGTGGTCCTCCGGCCTAGTGATGTAATCAGAGTAGGACAGGACCGTGCTGGGTATGGTACCGGAGGCCGTGGCTGAGGATGAAAGGAAACAGGAAAGAATTGTAGTTGAATGTCTTCCTTCACAGAACATCGAGGAAACAAAGAAGTCAACAACAAACAACCTGAGGGGAAACGTTAGTGTTTGATGTTTTTTCTGCCTATTGTTATGAGGCTGACGACATGTAAAGACTTATGACTACAAACATGATTATCTCACCTTGCTGTGTGTAACAAACAACCATGAGTTCCTGGCTGGCGTCCCCGGAACGCCGTACAGGCACTAGAAGTTCTCCGATGTCCTCCTCAATCTTGAACTCCGCCTGAGGAATGAACACTGTCGACTCTGTTTGAAGACAGAAATGTGATAAAAGATTCTCAGGTCTATTCATGTCTTTTCATTTTTTGGGCCAATTATTTTATAATTTAATTTTATATATAAATTTCAGCGGTACCATCTCCGGGATCTACAATCTCCACCGTTGCGAAATTTGGAAACTCCAGCACCGCCATGACCGGGTCTGATAGCTGTATCTCAAAGGTTTCCGAGGTCTCGAACTCCTGATCCGTGAAAATCTTAACCCTCCATGTGGCCGTGGTCTGACCGGGGTTGAACTGTACCTGTTTCTGGGATTTACCACGGAAGTCCTTGTCCTTCTCAGCTGTGACGTCCTTGGTGGCAATACCTGAAGATAATCGAGGGACATTGATTTGAGACGGTTACCAACAGCTGGGGACACCACATAATAATAATAATAACAACAATAATTAGGAAATAATTGAGTGCCTAATTTGCAACCAACACAGGCTGCCACAGGAGGCGCCGTTAGGGATATGTGGTTCCTCTGTCTGGGAAATCTACCCTGACGGACTGAGCACAGACGTTCGTGGGTTTTGTGAATGTTTTAAAGCAAGTCAGTCCTTCAAAAAGAGCCTTATGAATTATATCCTAAAATCTAAGAGAGTCGTTGAAAGTGTTTGTTAATTCAAACAGGGGCGTTTTCCTCCTAAAAACCCATAATTTCTTAGTGATTTTATATAAACCATTAACAAAATTAAAATGTTGCAAAGAAAAACCATGTCACTGATCAGATCAGATTTGATTGTCTAATCCCAACACTTACTGACAAAGGAGGTTTCCCCAAGGTAGCCTCTGCGTTTTAGCGTCACCTCCAGGAATTTGGCATCCTCGTCTACCAGGTAGTATTCCCTCTCCAGGGAAATCCAGGCCCAGTTTAAGCGGAAAGGCTGAGGCTTCAGTTTATTTCCACCTAAAGACAGAAAGAAAGCTTAGTTCCTCAGTATTTAATTTAAAAACCTCCTCAGCCACAGCAGCGAAACGAAGGAAACAATCAGTTTCGTTGGTATTGAGAGTCAGCGATGCATAGGAACTGCAATCTGCTTTGGGCCGAGGGATAAAGGAGTCAAATAGGTGTTTAATTTGAAAGAGGCAACGTGATATCTTAATACCAGGGTTTCCCTAAAGCTGGCAGGACTTGAAGGCGTGTTGCCGTCGTACTGAGTTCCAAGTTCTCTTCCACCTCTGCTTGGTATTCTCAAAGCACCAGTTGGCAATAAATGTGGTGTTAATTATCTGATTATAGAGTGAATTACATGTCAGTAATGATGTGGTTCCTGTCATAAACCTGACTAGAATAGTAGCTCTTACAGCAATTTCTGGGCTAACTTTAAGCTAGGTTTTTTAGTATCTGCTACTTCTGTACCACTAAAAATGTACATGTTCCTTATTTTTGCACTGGTTGGTGAGACTTATACTCCAGAGGGATTTATAGCCCGGAAAATACAGTGAGACTTATACTCCAGAGGGACTTATAGCCCAGAAAATATGGCACCTCTTCACTCCCATACCTTAACACCATGGCTGACCAATGAACAACAAACCAAATTTTATTCATACTATATAAGGGTGCAACGCTGCATCAAGTATGCGATGATGACAACGTCCAAACCAATGGTTTCCACGATTACCGACCGCTGTGTGGACAGCTACCACTGAGGTAAGAATGTAAGGTTACACTGGTTAAGCAGAGGCGACATGGAGAAGTGGAGCCCAGTGGGCACCGCCATCCTCCATCAAACACCCTGCTCGGGTTTCCAACAGTCACGGCTAAAAATATGGGTAACATGGATCATGTCTGCAGTTGTTTGTCCCAAATTCCACCGCAGTTTATGCATGAGTTCAGTACACTGTGTATAAAGTGTATGGCTTTGTTGTAATCTGTACACTCACGTGGTGATATCGGCTCAGCCATTCAACTCCTGACTGATAAGTCTTTACAGTTTAGGACGGAATCAGATTCCCATCACCACAAGAAATACAATCATTTCAACCACCAGCACCGTGACAAAAAAGTCCGAGATAAGGTTCAGAAGCCGGATTATTTTCCATGTCCTGGTAATTACTAAGTTTTATCAAATGAACACGACCAAAGAACAGCCTCTGTTCGGGCATAGAGCAATCGGCAAACAGGTCAGGGTTTCAGGAAACACATTTTAAATGGATGACACTTCATATGTTACAGATCTTTAACAATAAATCAAGCGGGACAAATAAACTATTTAGGGACATAATAAACGGACAATTTTAGCTCAGACAGATTGTAAAAAAAAAAGAGCTGGTGAAATGTGTCACCACTTCTGTCTGTCCCAGAGCCACTTGATACAGTGTGTGTGAGCAGGTGACACAGGTGTGAGGCACGATGCATGTGAAATGACGTAAGTGGCAAGCAAGAAAAAACCTGACCTGTAAAAATTATTATTATCCCATAAAGTAACAGTCCTTAACCAGCAGGTGGGGGAAGAATGGATGTAATTAACTAATATGCAAGAATTTCTCTAAAGAATCAGCACAGAATCATGCTAAATTATTAGTAATACTAATATTCCGAATCAAGAAGAAGTCAAAAACAAAAACATAGTAGTTTGGTTCTTTTATGTCTTTTGCATCCCAGAATTGTCTTTTGAATTCTGGGTAAAATTATTTACTAGTCCTATAATAGTCCAGACAGGTAAATAAAATAAAATAAAATTTTCAAACAACTTCTCACAACAAGGCTATGTTCTAATGACTTTTGACGTTATTGGCAACCATTAAAATTAGTATATGTTTGTTCAGAGTCTATACAATACATTTTTAACTAATCACATGTCATCATTGACATCGTGACCTGGTTTTAAAAGGTTTGTGGTACCGTGTGGTCAACAGGTGCTTTTGTTCTGCATTATAAACAAACTCCATGTGTCCTGTATCACTGGTACTGTTGTAAAAACCAGATTGGTATCTGTGTCATTGTCACATTCACTCGCTGTTCCGTGACACAAATTCACATTGTGGCACGACCCTGGGTGAGAGGAGGAACACGGGTGACAATTGCTGGGCTCAGTGTCATCAAAGCCATGTTATTTCTCTCTCTCTCTCCCTCTCTCTCTCTTTGTCCTTCCGGTCGTCTGTCTGTCTGTCTCCGTTGAAACCTTTTCACCCTCCAGATTCCCATAGTATGTGGAGCAGAGTGACAGCTGTACCCTCCTCCCACCCTGACTCCCTCCCTTCTTCCCTGCATTGACTTTGTTCACTCAGAGGATGAACAACTGAACGTGACAGCAGGCCACAGTCTGGGTGGGCCCACGTCCACCACCACGTCACCCCTGCCTGCCTGCCTACCTCCACATTGTTGTCGCCAGTGTAATAGAAGGGAAATCTCCTTCTATTGTACATGTGGTCAGACAGTGGGACTAGAGCCGGAACAAGTCTGATCAAAAGAAAAAAAAAAAAAAATCAGGACTTCCTACTTGACACATTAACTTGGCCTGGAATTTAAAGTTTCAAACTGAAGGTGTGAGATCAGAATAGCTGCTGTAAACCTGTATTTAAACATGATTGATTCCTAAATTTATGACGCAAACTCTATATTAGACCGGCCATTAAACCTAATACACACAGTAGCTCCCAGGTTTGGCTCACATTTCCATTAGCTTGTCAAACTGATGAGCATCGTAATTTCCGTACAGGAATGAAAAGTTTTATAGGCGGTACATATTTCTGAACGTCCCTGTTAGCAGCTATTTAATGAATTAGCTGTGAGTGATTGACGATGATAACAGACATTAGCCGGAAATACTTAGAAAGTGTGATGAGACTTCAGGTTCCTAGTGAAACTACGGCCTATCACGAGTAGTGGAAGATACAGAAAATATTTTAGAAATTTAAAAGCCTAGTCACCCTATTACACCAATAAATTTCGCTGGTCTAGTTAGCAATGTATAAAAAAGCTGTAAATTTAGTAGCAGTTACCAAGTTAGCGATGCTAATTTGCTAAACAAGGTAAGCTAAGAAAAGTAAACTTTATGTCAGAACCTCTGGGTTTTTTGGACCTTTCTATGCTGCAGAATAATGTTTAGAATATTTTCCATCTTTAGGAGTTACCACAGAAGAATTTGTTTTGTTTTTTGTCCACCATGTTGCGTGTAAAAAATAGGCAATTTAACCATGATTCATCCTCTAACATTCTCATCATGGGAGACAAAACGTTCTGAGAATTCGGTTTTAATAATGCTTAAGTTTATGAATTACCACTGTAAAAATAAAACCCAACAAAAAACAGGTTTGAGTCCGGACCTAAAGCCTTAAGATATTTTCAACATATGAAAATGTTGTATAAACAAGGGGAAAAGCGTGACGTAAAGTGACAAAAGAGTTCTCCTCCTAGGAGTTTATGTATTCAATATCATGCGTCAGCAAAGTAACGTCAAAACATATACATGACATGGTGGCCTCAGCTTTTTTTCTGCACCAGTGTTCGGGGGCAACACATTCTTCAGCAGCTCATATTTACACTGCTGCGCTGCCTGCACCATACATAGATACGGTGTGATAGTGGGTCAGGCCCGAGATATTGTTGGAAGGGAAGGTCAACGTGAGGCTCTGACGTCCGCTAACATGATGCAAGGAGGAGCAAACGACTAAGAATATCTTGATCAAGTATTTCCTCATTAATCATCCAGTTGGTATAAATACTGGGGAGATTCCCGGCAGCTATGGTTGGTATTCAAATATCACAGCGTTATTTATTGTTATGGTATGTTAGTTATTATTTAAATATATTTTTTCAACACAGGAGTTTTGAAGGAGATGTTTGGAATGATATATTCATATATATACATATGTATGATTATGGGAATTGTGAGAGCTTGACATAAGGCACTGCACTGTATATAAATAAATGAGTGCGTTAAATGCTGGATGATAAGTGGAATCATCTCTGAACAGTAGCAGCATTTGCTGTAGATTGACACATTAGACCAGGACGCAGCTTTGGCTCTGGACTCTGACAGATCTGTGGTGGAGGATGTTGCAAATCATAATAGGACGCAGGCTGACAACCACGGCCTCTTTGACCCTGGGTTACCACACTTGTGACCACACAGATAGCTGCAACTTTGGGAGAAATTGCAATAAAATTGAACATGTCATGATGAACCTTCATCTTTCCTGGCTGTGATACTTTTAAAAGTCTGTAATGTGTAGAAGTTTTCCTCTGTGGTCAATGACAGAAAAGGGAAGTCAGCAAAAATATAAAAATTTGAAGGCTTCAACTTTCGCAAACGTTTCGCAAACTGGACTCAAATTTGTACCATGTTCTCTTCAAAGGACTGAAAATAACAAGAGAAATAAAACACTAACACGTAAACTCTTGCACAACAACTACAAATAAAGCACTTCTCCACATTATAATTAATTGCTACTTAAATCATTGACATTAGTGAGAACGGACAGGACGAGAGAATAATAACCACGAGTCACCGACCGCGTGGAGTGACAGCGATAGCTGTGCCATATGAGAGCAGATATGAATAACCTTTGGAGCCATACATCATAACTCCTCTCCCCAGCTGTCTTCAAAAAAGCCATAAATCACAGCTGAAGAAAAAGAAATGATAAAAAAACTGTTCTTCAATGAAAGGAAAAGACAGAACGGAGAGTACGGAAGGATGTAACTGAGACGAGGTGGAGAAATGAAAACACCACAGAATAAGAATAGAAATACCCGGGGGGGGGGGGGGGGGGTCTGTGAGACGTCCTCGTCACAGGGGACACGGGCTGTGGCACCATTAGACACTAAATCTCCCAGTGACTGTTGACACGGCTGACATGGAACACAGTCCCACTGGACTGACACTCGGACTAATGGGGAACAGAAACTGAACTTCAATGTTCGTCACAGTCAGAATTTTGTCCCCGATGTCTTTAGGACCAGGGACCTCCACAGTGAAACCTCGCAGGTTATCAGGCTATCAGAGACCGGTTTGGGTTTCTGCAGAGCTGGGAGCGGGGTGACGGAGAACCTTGAAAGGGGATCCCCCCCCCCCCTCCCCGGAGACTTTCCTCTCACGTACACACCTGTCCCGCTGGGATACCACTGCACTTCCAGACCGTCCACAGTCTGTCTGTGGCCCTGAAGTCTGGAGTCTCCAAGGAAATGCATTCCTATCCCGGCTGTGAATGATCACATAACACAGGGACCCAGTGGGGTCTGTGGTCCCTCTGCAGAGCTGCAAGACTATATTGTTGCTTTTGGAAAAGGCACAAAGACTGATTTAATGTGTATGAATGCCGCGGCTTTGTTCTCTTTATTCCTTATCTCTTTATCTGCAGAATTTGATTAGCGTCACAAAGAAATCTAACACTATCTGCTGCACAAGATTGGCAAGAATAGGCAGCAGTGTCTGAAAACCACCACAGTCCTGGGTTTAAACGTCTGATATACTGCACCGGTCCTTCAGACCTGGAGACAAACGAAAACCTTCAGATGTCCTGACACGTCTGTCAGTAACTTAAGGGTTTTCTTTTCTCTGAGCCTGTGGCTCAATGGCCCCGACGTCCAATAAAGAAGAATATACATGAGCTGCGTACCCTCTCGTAAAAACAACCATATAGCCTGAATGGCCCTTTCTTCAAATGGCTGTAAGGCACTCCTGACCTGGACACATGCACACAAGTTATAACTTTTCCCTGAGGAAAGTGAGAATAAGCCGAGAGTTCATTTTTGTTGTAACTGCTATAAAATCTTTAGTGTCTCATCCTTAAAGTTTTACTAGAATTCTTACAATTATGAAACAGATGGGAGTAATTACAACATGGTAGACAGACTGTTACTTTTTAAAAGTATTTCATTTCCAGTCGTTAAGGCCAGGATAATTATATTGAAAAGTATTTCATTTCCAGTCGTTAAGGTCAGGATAATAATATGAATCACATCATCTTCAGGTTGGTGTTTGTATCTGTTAGTAAGATTGTTTTATATCATTATATGATTGTTTCACAGTCCATTGTTCAGATCCTGTGTCTTAACTCATGTTTCACATTAAAAACTACTGACCAACGCATTTTTTTCTTCACATATTTGAACAGCAACAGTTAGAAAGACTGACATGAAGTATTTGGGGGTAAAAAATGAACTCTTGGAATTTGAACTGCTGATACTGACGGAATAAAGTCTAAAAGATGTTTTTTTGATTTTTGAAATTGCGTTATGAAACATAGGTTTTCTAATGATTAGCAATCAATCAAAACGCACACGTCAAAGTGTAGCGTCAAAAGGTATGCTAACGAGGGGCTGTTTTTGGGGGGTTTGGGGGGGGTATCTTAGCTGCAAATCTTCTCTGACACTGAGCTTTTGTTTCCCTCACAAACAGCTCAGCTTCTTAGATTTATTACCAGATAGGCTGACCATCAGCGCTGCTCTCCACTTGCAAGTCGCTGCACGTCAGCGATGCTTCCAAACCTCCCATCCACCCCATCACATCCACACACACACACACACATTACTAAAACAACGGTTGACTCATCACAACCATATCTGCTGTGTGATCTTTTTTCCAGGTGTGGGTATTGGGGCCTCCATGTGGGCCGACTATTAACTAAAATGATAAACCAGCAATTATTCAAACTAGTATCTGTCGTGCTCCTGCACTTTACCTGGAATCTACAGGGACGCAGCCATAGTTTGGTTTAAGTGCTGACCTGCCTCCCTGCACCTGGTTCAGCTGAGTTGACTGGAGGCTTTACTAACAGAAGGAAAGCAAAGAAAAAAAAATCCTAAAGCTAATTGAAGCCCTCAGCGCCTTCCTGTGGTTAAACCTTTATTTAAAACCTCAGATTCACTGAGACAGATAGGGTTACGGTTGGTGTAAGATAACAAGGTCTGGGAGGAAATGTTAATTCACAGAGAGAGGATGTAGAGTTTGGGGATCTGACTAAGGTTAAATGATAACTCCAGAGGTGATTCATCTGTAGGTGTGGAGTTGAGGTTAATATGAAGCTTCACTTTGCTGACGAAAAGACAGTAATTTAGCAGAGACTTTCAGAGACCCTGTCCTGCCTCCTCACTGGTACGACTGCAGTTACAGCAGGATCATCTTTAACACGACCCTCAATCCAACATAATTGCAGACTGAACTTTTCCTCCTGCGTTGATCGTTGTCATTTATTATCTGACATCCGCTTTGCCTTCTGTCATATGTTCACTGATATCGTGTTTTCAACTTGTGAGACCCCTCATATTCTCATTTTATATTTTAAATGCCGACATGGATATTTTATGAGTGACATTCATATGGCAGCGGACCAAGAGGAAATATGATCCTCAGTTAAAGTGAAAACCCAACAGGCTTTGACACGTCTGAGTAAAGTGAGAAGGAAGGAACTGGTTCTTATGGAACATGTTGAGGTCGGTGTCACAGGCTGATAACTAAGAATGGGAAATCATTTTGTTTTAAACATTTAAAAAACATCATTTAATATAATTAATATTAAGTTATATTTCCAGACTAATATAAACCATTACTGAATATTATAGTAATAACTAAAATTACTGTTACCTACAAATACATTTATTAGATTTCACAATGTCACTTCAAACACGCGATGAAAGAGGGAGCATCTGAAAGCACCCTGAGGGAATGTCCATGTCATTGTCTTCTAACAATGACGTTTTAGAGCACGTAGTTCCACCTCTTCTACTTTTACCAACACTCTTCTTAAATCTCCTCTGACCCCTGTCCTTTAAACCTGCTTCCCCCCTTTTGCAGTAGGGTGAAAAGAGAAGGTGGGTCTCTGCCGAGTGTCAGTCATGGCCAACTGCCCTAAGTCTTTGTGATGCAAACACATGGCAGAGAGAAGGTAGCTTCATGTTTTTAAGAAGCCATTTAAATGGAAAGTCTGAAGAAAAAGCCTTCAGGCAAATGATTTCCTGCTCATGGTTCCATGCTGGTGTCAGTGCACGTTAGTATGAAGTAGTTTAATGGTTTCTTACCATTGTCTTGAACGGTGAAGTAAAAGATGTCACTGGTTGCGTTGCTCTTATCCAACAACACGTAGGAAATCTTCATGTCATTGATGTCAGCTGTAAAACGAAAAAGAGTAAATGAGTCGCAGATTAATACATGGAGAGAAGTATGAAAACCTGGAGTCAGTTTGAAGAGATCTGAGGACCAATAAAGTCACAAGGCAATCAGCATTGCAATTTTGTTATGGCCATGGTATATTTATGCATATATTATTATGTACTAAGTATTTAAGTTACCTACATTTGTATATTTATGCATATATTATTATGTACTTAAGTATTTAAGTAAAACTTTGTATAGATTTTATATTTATCATAAAAAACAGATTTAACATTTCTTGTTAAGTATATTATGTCGTAGTTTGTAGCTTACCTTGCGTGAAGGTAGTGATGCTGTCGTTGCCCAGACCGGAGTTTATGATGAAGCCGTGTTTAGGGGCCTCGGTCACGATGTACTTCAAAACTCTGTTAGAGCTGTCGCGATCCTCTGATCTCAGGGCCTTGCTGCTGATCAGGAACCCAACGTGACCCGTTGGGAGGACCCTCAGTGAGGCTGCAGCCTTGTTGACCAAAATCTGGGGCACACCGTTGTCCACTGTGTTGATCTGAATGGTCATCATCTGGGGCTTGCGTGTTTCATACACAGTGTTGGGAAAGACGTAAAAATCTGTATGCGTGCCGTCTGTGACGGTGAAGGAGAAGCTGTCCTCGATGGTCTCAGTGCCGTCGTGCTTGTAGCTGATCAGGTTCTCGTTCAGATCGTGTTTGGTAAAGGTCGTGATGGTTTGGCTGTTGTTGAAAAGCAGCTGACCATGCACGGGCACCTGGGTGACAATGAAGCGGAGCAGGTTGTCGGGTGTGTCACGATCTTCGACTGTCAGCTCAAATGGGGTGATGAGTTTGGTTTCTCCTTCTTCGACGACCAGCTTGTTTATAGTCAGGACTGGTTTCTTATTGTCTACATCTGTGATGGACACTCTAAAGGTCCGGAAGACAGGGTTGTAGCCATCTGTTACCTCAAACTCAAAACTGTCCATTTTCATTTCATCATCAGAGGTGTGGATGTAGTAGACCTTGTTGCCAGCCAGCTGGAGTTGGGTGAAGGTGGAAATGGGGACACCGGGGTGGTCAGTACTCTCTAGGTGACCTCTGCTTGGTGCTCTTGTGATACTAAAGCTAAGGTGTTCATCAGGACTGTTGATATCTGAGGTGCTGAGGAGGTCGGTCGTGAGAGTGACTTTCCCTCCTTCCTTCAGAGTGACACCTTTATTAATGACATCTGGGAAGACCATGTCGATGCTTCCGATGTTGATGTAAAAGTAGCGGTCGATGAGGGGATTGATTCCATCGGTTACATCAAATTTGAGCAGATCACGAATTCCCTCTTGGCCTGTGTGTACATACTGAATGAGGTGTTTATCAATGTCATCCTGTGTGAAATTCTGGCCTATGGTGATGTTACCTAACACGTCACCAAATGTGTTGATTCTCTGCAGATAGCCCTGAGCGGGACCATACCTCACGATGTAAGTTAGAGCTTTATCTTCAGAGTCCAGATCTGTGGCCTTCAAAACCCTGTTGCTGATGACCTTTGTCTCTCCAATCTCCACATCCAGACCATCATTTATGGCCATCCTTGGTGTCTCATCATCGACAGGAATGACCATGATCAGAACTTTTTTTTCCACTTTGTGTTTCCCATCTAAAAGTCTGATTACAAAGCTGTCTTCTTTGGTCTCAGAGTCGTCGTGTTCGTACACGATGTCCGACGCCTCTTTTATTTGTTCCAAGCTGAATGTGTATACAGGGACGGTGCCGGTGCTGAGCTGCTGGACTATTTCACCATGCTTTGGTTGTGTGATGATCTCAAATTGCAGCTCGTCCCCGGGAATGTCGACATCTGCAGCGTTCAAGATTGGTGTATCAATAACCAGACTCATGCCCTCCATCACCACAAACTCACGAATAAAGATCTCAGGCGTCTCGTCATTGGCAGGGATGATGACTATCGGGAAGAAATGACGCTCAGAGAAGTTAATGCCATCAGAGCAACGGAAGGTGAAACGATCCTCCACTGGTTCAACGCCTTTGTGGATGCTTTGGACATAGTAGATGTGACCAAGAGCAACATCTCTAATAGTAAAGGCTGTGATTGCTGTCCCTGCTCGGGATTTTTCAGAGCCTGAAGCTGGAGAAATGTTTTCCACATAGCCATGCGTTGGCTGGACAATGATGGTGCAGAGAATGTCGTCGTTGTCTGTGTCAATATCTTCAGCTTGAATGTGATCGAGGGTAATGACATTTTTCTCACCTTCAACGACAACAAACTGCTCGCCAACGCTAACAATAGGTGAAATGCTGTCCACAGGAAGGACGGTAACATGAATCATCACCCCGTGGACTTTGTTGCCACCAATGACCCACTGCTCGGACAAATCAGACAGAGTTAGGTTGAAGGAGTCGTACACCTTGATTGGACCGATTTCACCTGATGTGTGAGCGTACACCACAGCACCGTTAATAATGTCTGCCTGGGTGAATCTCTCAGCAGGTACACCGTTAACCAGGATTTCACCCATCCTGGGAGGTTCCTCTACAATGAACGTGAGCATCAGATCATCTGTGTCCTCATCGCGGCCCTGTAAAACGTTGCTGGTGATCTCTGTTGCTCCGTTCTCCAGCACATCAATGGACGCTCCTAGAAGACCATGTGGAAGCATGATGGTGGGGACTTCATCATCCACAGGGTCAATCGAGATCTTGATGTTAATCGGTACGTTATGGAAACCATCACTCACGTCAAGTTTGATAACGTCACCTGTTGATTCTGATCCACCTTGGATGTAAGCTACATGGCCGTTAGCAAGGTCATCAAGCACGAACGTTTCACTGTTTGTCATGTCAATCCCTAAGTACTGCAGCTTCCCGTGATGAGGAACCTGTACCACAGTAAAAATGATATTTTCATCTTCTGTGTCACTGTCAGTGGCTAGTAGCTCCTTCTTTGTAATAATATGTGAACCTCTCTCGTAAACAGTGAAGCCAGTGTTGGTGATGAGAGGTGGTTTGTTGTCAACCGGCTGCAGGAAGATAGTGAAAAGTCCATCTGCTGTGTTTCCAGCTGTGTCCTCTACAATGAACGTGAACTGAGCCACTTTTGGAGTGATGCCCAGCTCCTGGTCTGGGGGCCTGTAAGCTACTTTATGGTGATTAACCTGGGCCTGTGTGAACTCTGTAATTACAATGTCAGGCTTGTCAGTCAGTACGATTTCACCTAAGGGTGCGGGATTGTTCTCATCGGTGTCGGTTGGGGGCTTAGTGATGGTATACCTGAGATCCCTGTCATCTGAATCTAAGTCAGTGTAGCACAGGAATTTCTTCTTGAAGTGTGTCAGCTCATACTCCTGCACCGTCATGTGAAGGGTGGTGCCTGGCAAAAGTTCTGGGGAAATGTCGTCGACAGGGTGAATTTTGACGGTGAACACATTCTCGCCTGATTGATTTGGTGGATCGTTATCATCTTGGACCCTGAAGACAAACTGGTCAATCACAGTCGTGGTACTGTGTGGCCCAATGTCCGGATGTGCGGGTAAACCGTCTTTCCGTCGAGGATAGCCTGCTGAAACCATTCAGTCACCACCTGCTCAAACATCTCATCTGCTTCGCTGAATGTCCACAGAGATGGGTCAGACGGAGGCTCAACCTGCCTTAACAGCAGCTGACCCACAATGGAGTAAGGTGTCTCCAGGATGAACTTAACGCTAGAGTCTTCTGAATCAATATCTGTTGCGCTCAGAATGAAAGGGGAGATCTGCATGACTTCATTCTTAAAGAGCACGAGACCAGTGTTAGCATTGATAATAGGGGGCTCGTCATCAGTGGGAACTATGGTGATAGGGAACAAGAATTCCACCTCATTACTCCCATCGGTCATTCTAAAAATAATATTGTCGCTGTAGGTGTCGCTGCCATCATGCTGGTACACTACAAATCCAGCATCCAGATCTGCAGGTGTAAAGAACTTCCTGCGTGTACCGAGCACAGTCAGATCTCCGTGTTTCAGACCATCGACAACAGTAATTCTGACATCGTCTAAGTTGTCCTCGTCACTGATCTCTAAATTCTGGGAGCTAGAAAGTGGTCGGGACTGACCCTCAAACAATAGCTGCCCTGTATTTTTGGTTGCCACAGGTGCCATGGTATTCATGGGCTTCACCACAATCATAAAAGCAAACGTGTCGGACACAGCGCCATCAGTGTCTACGATTTCAAACTCTAGCTGGAAAATCCTCTCGACTCCAGAGTCCTCTGAGGGAGGTTTATAGGCTATTTTAAGATCTTTGATGTCTCTCTGATAGAAGGAGGTGATTGGCAGGTTCTGATCATCTGTGCTGATGATATAACCCTGCTCAGGGCTGAGGGGCGAAGTGATGTTAAAAATTAAATCATCTGGGTCAGATTCTACATCTTCGGCAGCCAGCATGTCGCTTGTTATAGCCGTCATCACAAACTGATCAATCTCCATCATCATCATGGCCACAAAACTAGGTTTAGGAGCCGTGTTCTCTGCTCCTTCTCTGATTCTAACCATCATTTGAAAATGCTCCTGCATAATAGTGTTGCCTTCATTGTCCTGCAGCTCCACCATCATAGGAATATAATCTCTGTTTGGGGACTTAGTCTTAGCAGTGTGCTTGTAGCGGATACCCTGCTTTACAAACTCATCGCAGTCAATCATTTTGCCGTTGCTGGGGCTATTTAAAAGAGTGCCATACCTGGGGAGACCTCCAGCCCCGACCAGCGTGGAGATCTTACACTGTGTGACGCCATCTTCAAAGGAGAACTCCAGGGCCTTTTTGTCAATAGGGTTGCTGTCACCGGTGAGCTTTTCTACATTGAGAGGCATATTCCTGGTAAGGATCTCAAGCTGCTGGAAGACCACCTCCACCTCCAGCATGAAAGGTATGATCACTGTGTCTGTGTGGGAGTCATAACGCAGCTGGAGCTTCACGCGGTCCTTGCTGGGACTCCGAGATCCAAAGTGAGTGTATTTGACCTCATCTGGTCCAAACGCGCAGGGGAACTTCTTCGGGGTCAACATCCCAGGTTTCTGTGCTAAAGGGTCATTCTCCAGAACAGTGATGTGGCAGCGGTCACCGGGCTGCACCTCTGTCACCAGGTCACTCAGAGGGTCAAGAAAGACAGACCTCCCCAAAGGCACCCTGATCCCATTATTGGCAATAATGATGTTGTCTTCATTAGGTCCTGGTCTGTGGTGGTAGAGGTGAGCAGGGTTAAAAGGATCAGCAACTACTGAGGCAAAAGACAGGCTAAGATAAAACGCCACCAGCAAAAATCCCCACTTGGAACAAAGTTGGCAACTCTGCAGACACACAGCCATGGCTACTGCCAGTTGCCTTGCAATGTATTTGACAAGTCAGCAGCAGCAGGCAGGTACGACTCTTCCTAGTGGAGAAAAGGCATCAAATGAAAAATCTTGACTATTTGACCCTGCCGTCTGTCCCCTCAGTCTCTCCCTGTTTCTGTGTGGTCACACTGAGACACAAGTGTGGTGAAGACTGCCGAGCTGTGCAGGTAATAATGGAACAGTAGACAGTGACAGGCTCAGACTCCTCCTTCTGTCAGCACTGGGAGGGAGCCTCCGGCCCCCACAGCTAATTTCAGACCCACCATTGGACCAGACTGTGAAAGTGCTCCTCCAGTCAACACTCAACAGCCTCTTTGACTTGTTTCACAAAAACTGTCAGTGAAAAAAAAAAAGGCAAATCACATTAAATATATTTGACTTTGTATCATTTACTTCACATTAAATACATTTGACTTTGTACATGTGAGACGTAAGTTTTTACTTTTTACAATAATTAAATATGTATATAAAACATTAACAGAATATATATTATAACAGAAGAATACTAATTTATTTTTAAAAATGTTTTAAATGTTTGAAGACATTGTGATGAGATTTTTTTTGTTTTATTTTAGCTCTGTTTCATAGATTGTAGTGTTACAAATATTTTTTTTAGAATAGGTTTATATGAAATAATTGAAATTAATTCAATTCTGTTGTGAACTGGTCTCGCAGTCATTTTTATTTCCTGTTCATGACTCGGAGCGCCTGTGATGCTGTGTCAGAGGGACGCCGCGGCACCAGAATGATCTGAAGTGTCACACTGAGGGACAATTAGCTGGGATCAGCTGGTAGGACAGGTGTACGGACACTGCTGCTGCGTCTCCCACACACACGGTGAAAAGAAAAAAAACACAGAACAGCTAAAATTGCCCAGGACTGTTTTTTTTCAGGCGTCAAATTTCAGTGTGAAATTTCAACTTTCATGGCTGAGGCTGTGATGTCTCTGATACAGTTCTCACCAGACGCCCAGTATTTTTTTTAGGTGAGATACAAAGTTCTAAAAACTCCTCCGTGTGGTTTCTTCTTTTTTCGTAGAGATACTATTAAGAAGCATGGAGACATCAAGCAGTCCTACTGGTTGTGGTGAGAATGTGAGAATGTGTACTCAGTATGGTGCACAAGGTCATGTTAAGATAAAAATACCTGGTAGCCTTTTATGGATCATCTTTTGAGTTGGCTTTGACACTGGTTAAAATGATCTGTGTGCTCTGCCCTTACATTTTTTTATGCGGTTTCTTTTTCTTTCGCCAAAAATTTGAGGAATTTGAAACATTTGAAATGACCAGAAATAAAACAGTTTCTTATTCAATGCGAGGCTAATTTCATCGTGTTCTTTTGTGAGCAGTGAAATATGCTTTCTACATCAATTTGTCATCTGAGCTGTCGTCAGATAGTTGCTTTGATTTATGAATCGTCACCAAGGAATTCTGGACAGAAACGTCGGTAAAAATCCGGATTAACATTGTTTATCGCACCACAAAAGAGGTTTTAAATAAAAGTGTAGCTATAACCGTCCCGGTGATTTGAATAAAAATAACCCCTCTTTCCTGGACGTGATAATGTATTCAGGACAACACAACATGACCCAGTCAACAACCTTCTCAAAAGTTTGCCTCAAATACCAGCCATGCCGTGCATCCTGGCATTCTGTATCACACTTTTTCATTGCATCCTCTAAATAAATCTGGCCCTCCTCACTTGACCAGCCGAGGGGACTCACAGGATGAGGTGTAACTATAGACACAAACACCGACCTCTTTTTATACTTGGTTATTCTTGGATTTTACTCACATTCTGCTCATGTGTTTACTGAAAAATATGAAGAAAAACCTCTTGATTAAAAAAAAATATTATAATATATTTTGTGGAAGGTACACGTTCCATATTGTTTCTGTGGCTGTGAAACACGCGTAATGAAACAGAATCCATCAGCGAGACTTTACTATATTCAGTAAGTGAGTGGAAACATCTAAGAGTGGGTTCTGTTCTGGAGCTGCAGCCGGTCAGTCAGCAGTCGGCCGTTAGGTTCTCTTTGTCTGATTTAGAAACCAAAGACGGGACGTGCCTTTAATGAGCACCTAAGGTAAACAGAGAGGGAAGCTGGGCCCAGGCCAGAGCTGCTGCCTCTGATCAGAGCCTCATCCAGGGGGCAGCTCATGATGACAGCAGACACTAATGACCCTGTGACAGATGGAAAACAAAGCCAGTGGAGATGGCACTCCTGTGACCTCAACAGCCAACCAGGGAAGAGAGGTTTACTTTCTTTTCTTTATGTGCAAAAAAAAAAAATGCAGTTTCCTGTACAGTCTGTAGTTTTATTAATAATGATTTAGATTTGAACACTGATACTAATCATGGTTCAGGGGCCACATACAGCCTGATTAGAGCTCAACTGGGCTGGACCAGTACAATCGTAACATAACTACCTATAAATAACATCCATCCATTTTCATCCGCTTATCCGTTACCGGGTCGCGGTGGCAGCAGTCGCCACCCAAATCACACTGCACCGTACCAAACCTTCCTGCGGGTGGTGAGTCCACTGGAAGGTACCAACCGAGACATTGCCTCTGGGCCGAAGTGCCACCCTATAAATAACATTAAACCCATATTTTTCTTCTTTGTTTTCATGCATGACTTTTAATTTTTAATCATATTTTTCTTCTTTGTTTTCATGCATAACATCACAAACTTGAATTGTTTTTGACTTTTTTTAATTTTGAAATTCATCAAGCGGGTCAGATTGAGCCCACCACTGGCCCTGTTTTAGCCCATGGGCCGTATGTTTGGCAACCCTGTCATAAGGTATTATACAGTAGGGAATTATATTGTTTGGTAATATTTCGTAACATAAGATCAGGTTTACAACTAGTGGAAATAAGATATTGTTTGGTAATATTTCGTAACATATCAGGTTTACAACTAGTGGAAATAATGAATGATAATTAATGTATTGAACAAATTACTTTAAAATATTTTGGATGTTTTTCGGTGTACTTCGACCTCAGGTCTGAACCAGCACAATCTGAGTCAATGAAAGACCAAGACAAATGAATGAAATCATACAAATAGAATAGACTAGAACAGAGTGGGGTTAAGGTGGTTCAACATTCCAGTGTAGGTTCAGTCATCATTCTTCAGCATGTCACGTTTATCGCTGCTCAACATCTCCATCATTCACACAGCTGAACAACAGCTGTTCAACTGTGTTGACCTCCTGTAGATCACTGTCCCTGTCCATGTGTGTGTTTGTGTGTGTTTGTGCACAACTGGAAACAATGAGGCGGGGTCAACGCTCAAAGCACCAAGGTTCCCGATACCAACAAGCAGTATTAAAAAACGGAGCGGTGATCAGACGTGGTCTGTACGTTCTGTCTCTTCCTGCCGTGGTCACATTTCTCCTGCGAAAGTGACTTTAATCTAACGCAGATTACCAGATTACGCGGAGCCGTGAAGAACGTATTAAAGGATCAACAGCAGGATGTGTGAAGTGGCTCTGGAAAGTGGCTCCGACGGACGCAGTGAAAATAAGCTTTGATATAAGAGATGCGGCTCACCCCTAATAAACTCCTTGTCTCCCTGAAATAACCAAAGAAGAAGATGGCTTCTGCATTTTCTTAGCTCCTGCGCTACTCGCTAGCAATGCTAATCATGCGGCCTGTTGTAAATATACACAGTGTATAAATAGAGAATCCTGAGACCTGAGACATTTGGATCTAGTTCCCGAGGAGGAAGAGGTTTGTGTTCTGCTGTACTGGGTGCTGCCTGGCCCGGGTGTCCATGACTGTGGTCAGGTTTGAGGGGGGACTAGAACAAATTTTAGAATCGCTCCTGCCGTCGCTGCCATCCCGCAGGCTCAGTGCAACATTACATCTGCTTAATGGTGGATTAAAGCATCCTGTGGGCAGATTGATATGGGCCGGCGCTATCACTAGTCTTTAAAGGAAAGCAGCGGCCCATGGAAACAGGCTGGATATAGCAGCTGGATGAGACCCAAACACTGGGCAACACAAAGATGCTGATGGTTTTTATTTAAAAAAAAATATATATGACAGGCTCCACAAAATAACCATTATCCCGCATAGTGTGAACGCATGTAGCTTAAGCTAATCTTACACTTTGCTCATTATTTTACTAAGGTTGTTGTGAAGCATGATGGGACATTTTTATTCCTCTGTTAGAACTTCTACGTAGGGAACTGTTAATCCAAGGCGACACTAGTTCTAAACAAAGGAATCTAGTACCGACCCAGGAATGTGTTCAACACAATGTGGAGGAATTCCTGTCTTTTAACACAGTCACTTTGAACTGAGTGTGTTTGCACCTGGAGCTCAGGTTTGCACCAAGATCTTAGCATGTGTGTGTGTGTGTGTGTGTAGGTCAGTTTATAAGATCAGTTGAACTGCACTGATACTGTACTGTACTTAGAACAAATGGCATCAGATCTGGCAGAGAGTGGACGACTACAATGAAGTTTAATGGGACGTTTCTATATAAAAAAAAACAGATCCTAAAAACGTGGCTCAATTCCATTTCCTCCATGAACCAGAAGAGGTTTAGATATAATTTGCAATATAGTAAGGGGTCTCCAACCCCTGGTCCGGGGACCGATCCTGGTCCGTTGGTCATGTGGTACCGGGTCGTAGTAGTACAGTTTTACTAATTTACTTCATTCAAAAAGAATACAGTCATTAATGGTTGATTTCTTAGATTAGTGATAATATATTTATATATTTTTTTTCGTGCCCCCCCTCCTTATTTCGACACATACCAGAAACCACGTTGCTGACACAGGAAGGACCAGAGGCAGCCGTTTCTCTTGACCCGTGTTTTCTGACGGGGGGTGAAAAAAAAGAACCCTTCAATGGAGACTTTAATTTATTTTGTCCCACACTCACGTGTCCTGCTATCACCTGTTTTTTCCTCTGGAACCTTCTGCTTCGGCCGAGTTTATGTTGCCTCTGCCTTAACCTCTGACCTCTGCGGAGAAACATCTGTTTGAGGGAAAGGATAGCTGACATAATCCCATTCCATATCTGCACTGTGATTTATGTCCTACCTTTAAAAAAAAGGGCTCAAATGACAACTGCACAGGACGGAGGAAATATTTGAGTTGACACAAATATTAGTTAAAGGTAAATGCTCAGAAGCTGTACGTTGACTCAACCATCTTGGTGGGGTTAATTGCTGATAGCTAGGGTTTTGCACATTAACAATTAGCAATTTTGTGTTCTTAAAATCAACTTGAATAATTAAAGGTTTGCACATAATTAAAATCCTAATAGACTGTTGTGACCCAGGTTTGGTGTAGGATTTGACGTCAGGATTTGACTTCAGTTTTGGTACTACTGTGCTGCTGCTGCTGCTGCTGCTGGATTTGAGCCACATGACCAGATAGGGATCTGTGGAGACCAGTTGGTTACTTCAGTGAAACCTGGCTGCTGAAAGACTGAACATTCCAAGAGGGATTTAGGATTGTGAAGAAATTCTCACCTGAACCCCCAACATGTCCATCCCTTCTAGTCAAACAAAAACAAAAAAAAAAAAAAAATCACATCTTGTGAGCCTTGTGAAAACTACTCAGGGTAAGGATTTTTCCTCATCTTGAATTATGTTTTACAGATGTGTAAAAAAAAAATCTAAATTCTGTCCCTACACCTTAGCAAAATACACATTATCGGTCATTTATGAGGTTTTTTTCCAGGTACAGTATGAGCAGGTTTGCTTCATCTAACATTATCTAAACGTCGTTCCGACTTCTTAAAGGACTCATCAGAAAAACCAAGAGTCCGGCGCTCCACACCTGTAATTACGTCAAATTTCTTAAGTGCGCTGAGTTGTCATTACTTCACCATAAAGTGGACAGCTGTTTCCTCTGCACTCAAATGCCAGGAAGAACAAAGCAAAGTCCAGGAATAACTGAAGGCCACAGTGGTGTCAACGGGTCAGTGGACTTTCCAAATGTCAAAGGTGTGATTGTAAACAACTGCAGTCCTGTGAGTCCACACCGTACAACCGACGTGTTTCTGTGTTTCCACTGGTAGTTTTCACTGTGTCGCTCCCGGCAGGGTGCAAAGACGTGGGGCACGCACCGCTAAACCGTCCACTGAGGATGTGCAGCAGGTCCACTGCAGATGAGTGGAAGAACGTGTCCTGTTATAAAGCATCTGAGGTGTTAATGGTGAAGGTGGCGGCCTGGCATACTCTCACGTCTCCTAAAATAAAAAGCTGTTGGTCGGGGAACTGAGAACAAGTTACTTCACTTTACTAATTTATTCATAATTTAAATATATTGAAAAACTTTTTTTTTTGCTTGATAAAACTTATTAAGAGGCAGAAATCTGACAAAAAAAAAAGCTATAAACCAAATTGATAATTTCCTAACGTCCTTCTTCCTCTCCCAGTTCAAACAAATTGTTGCCCTTACATCAAATCTGTCAACATATTTTTCTAAGAATGTGTGACGAGTTGACAAACAACGAGCTTGAGCAGCAACTTTGATGATGTGATTTTGGTCGGCGCCGTCACAGAGATCCAACGCTGAGTCGTATTTCACGTTCTGATCTATTTTTTCCTGCACAAATATCATATTTAATGAATTCCATCTTTTGTCGTGTGCGACGCACCCGTTGAAATATATCCCGCTCTGGGCTTCACATCACAGCCGCCGCCACACATTCAATTCTGCAGAGACTTGCTCAGTGACAGGCAAAGAATGTGAGCCAGTTGACTCTGACATTGAGGACACATTATTCACCGCAAACCCTTTAATTAGGACTGTCTGACCTCCGACCTTTGGAGAGTACAACCCCCGAACCTCCTCAGGTCAGCGAGCCGAAGAAAAGAGGACAAATCTTTGGGCTGTGATAAAAGGACACAGGAAGCTGCGAGGGAGGTTAAATACACAGTGTTGATATAAATGGAGGAGGTGTCAGTCCGATGGACGGAAGAAACTCTGGAAGGTTCTACGTGGACACAAGTCGTAAAATCAGAGAACGGAATGTAGGTGGAATGGAGATGTATATATACTTTATTTTTCTTTTACGTTTGTAGGAACTTTATGTTTTCATTAAAACTGTCAAAAGTATTGTATTAATTGTGTTTAATTATTTTGTGAAATGAATCAGATTTAAAAAAAATGTATGTGTTTTAAACAATAATTCCATCTAATAGTTCTATTGTTTGGATGAATCAAAAAATAAATGTCTTCCTGTTCCAGCAATATAAATATTATAAAGTATATTTAAGGATGTCGATTAATATCAATTAATCACGACTAATCATGATTAATTGCAGACCTAGCTTTAACATTCTGTAACAGTAGAAAAAGCAG